ACGCTCAGCAAGACCTCTTGTCGGACCAGTGTAAGGAGAAGAAGCAGGCAGTGGGGAGGCGGGCTGTAACTCTGACTGCGATGGGACAGGCGGTGGACACTCTAAGGAAGGGGCAGGACCAGTAGAAGGCGGAAGACCAAGAACCTGCTGAAGGAAGTAGAACATAGTACGCCGCGGAGCGCGCAGCGCCTCTAGAACCAGCAAGGGACAGCACCAGCACCCCAGTGTCAGCTCCAACTCCAGCAGCACCACCAGCTCCAGCAGCACCTCCAACAGCAACTCCAGCAGCACCAGAAGCGCCAACTCTAGCACCCACAAGAGTACCGGCTCCAGCAGTACCTCCAGCTCCAGCACCCCATCAGCTCCAGCTCTAGCAAGACCACTAGAAGACCTAGCAGCTCCAGCAACTCCAGCTCCAGTTTCTCCGGCAGCACCTGCTCCAACAGCACCGCCAACTCCACTACCTCCAGCAGCTCCGGCTCCAGCAGCACCACCAGTCCCAGCAGCTCCAGTACCTCCAGTACGAGCACCTCCGAGACAAGTGGCACCAGAACCCCTAGCAGCTCCAGCAGCAGCAGGACCTCCAGCGCCAGTAGCACCACCAGCTCCAGCAGCACGGCTGAAGCAACGAGCAAACCACTCGCGCAGCTGCTGTGGAGAAAGTGGCTCCTGCCGGGACGAAGCACCTGAAGGACCTCCAGGCGCATCACCTCTAGAATCCATAAGCGCATGCTCAGCACCCTTAGGCTCCGCACCCCCGCACCCCAGACTCAGTAACCTAGGCTCAGCACCCCCAGTCTCAGCACCCCCAAGCTCAGCACCCCTAGACGCAGCACCCCCAGGCTCCACACGCTCAGGCTCAGCACCCTCAAACCCGGCACCCGCAGGCTCAGCACCCCTAGTAGCACCAGAGTCAACAGCTACCTCGACAGGCTCGACTGCGTCTACCTGGGACACACCTGAGGGGGCAGGACCCTAAAAAAAGAGAGGGTCTACCGGGGGAGGACCTGGCGCAAGGAAGAGCGGCGGGGGGGGGGGAGGGTGGCAGTGCGGTAGGGGAAGAAATGGTAGTAAGGAACCGACTCGTCAAACGTGACGTCATGAGAGGACAGAACACGGCGCGAGGTGGGGTGGTAAAACTGCCAACCAGGCGCGTCAGGGGGGAAGCCAAGGAAGGCGCAGGGAACAGCACGGGGAGACAGCTTGTCCGCAGACAAGTTACGGACAAAAGCTCGAGATCCCCAAACATGGAACGCAGACACATCGCCAACCTTCCCGTCCACCGCAGAGTAGGTGTGGTCTCCGGCACAGAGACCCGGGGCTGGAGGTTGATCTGATGCGCCGCGTACTGAACCGCAAACGGCCATAGAAAATGGGGAGCAGCCGCATGGATCATGGAAGTACGGGCAACGTCTATGACCATGCAAATGCGGCGCTCAGCAATCCCATTTTGCTGTGGAGAGGCCAGAAGTGGGAACGTCTGGCGAATTCCCTCCGCTCGACAGAAGGCCTGCAGAAGGTCGGAGGAAAACTCTCCACCTCTGTCGAAGTGCAGACGCAGTTCAGGAAGGTCCGAGCCGAAACTCTCGCTGAGCTGACGACGAGCAGCGCGGATCCAGTCGATCAGCACCTCAGTGACCTCATCCTTGCGGCGCAAGGGGAAGACTGTGGTGTAACGCGAGAAGTCGTTAACGACCAGCAAAAAGTAGCACTCGTGACCCTGTCCACAGACGCGGGCTGGGCCCCACACGTCCATGTGAAGAGTCTGCAAGGGAGCCTCCGTCGGAGGTAACTCGGAGGAGTAAGGAGCGGCGCGCTGCCGCCCCTCGACGCAAGGAACGCAGGTACGGAGAGACGGGGGAAGACCAGTGACAAGGACATGGGAGGCCATGCCTCGGAGACGAGGCAGGGAGGGGTGACCACGGAGGGGAGTCTGGTGAGACAGGAGGCGACTCGAGCAGGGGGCGGACTCAAGACCAGACCGGGACGCTGCAGCAAACACCTGACCCGACGCAGCTACCTAACCATACTCAGCAACCGGAGGAGACTCGGTAGACAGGGTGTACAGGCTCGACCCAGGCTGACGGGTGAACGTGGCCAGGTGTCGGCCTGTTCGAGTACACAAACAGTGGGTCAACCTGTGACCTCCAGGAGTGAACTGGTCAGCCCACGCGTCCTGAAGGTCAGCTCCACTCACCAAGTTTGTGGAGAACAAGGGGAGGTGGAGGCCTGAGCGAGAGCCAGACGGGACCGCCGGACACGGCAGAACAGTGGAGGAGTGTGCAAGGACCGGACCCCCAGATGGGTCAGCCAAAGAGACTGCCACTGGTCGACTCTGTGGCGAGAGTGTGGTGCAGTCGCGAAAGAAGGAGCCGGAAGCACCCGAGTCAAGGGTGAAAGTGTGGAAGGCTTGAGCCGACGTGGTACCTGAGAGAGCAGACTCACCAGCACTTGGGGCAGCAGTCTCACCAGCACCTGGAGCAGCAGACTCACTAGCACCTAGAGCAGCAGCCTCAATGCCCGGGTAGGGCGGAACACACATGTAACAGTCACCCTCAGCACTAATAGACACAGCATACATAGCAGCAAGGATAGCATCATAGTCAAGATCAAAGATAGCAACACCCGACTTAAGCAGATCACCCCACCGTGGGATCTCAGTGGAGTCAGGAAACTGCGTATGCAAGGCGTCAGTCAGGCGGTCAAAACAGCGCTGCGTGGCGTGCGGCCTCTGCACGTCCCCCCACTGCGGTCGCTGTTGCGGAGAACGTAAGCGCAGGGACTAGCACCCCCAGACCTCCCACGCACAGCGTACCAGTCACGAAGCTGCTGGGGCGACAAGGTCTCACGAGTGCGCTGCTGCTATTGGCGCTGACCACCACCAAAGCCTCCGCGCTGCACAGCGCCACCCCGACTAGCACCACTGCCGCCGCCACCCCCACCGCCGCCGCCGCCGCCGCCTCCACCCCCATTGCCGCTGCCTCCGCCGCATCCACCTCCACCACCGCTACCGAAGCCCCCACTCCCGCCACCACCCCCACCTCCACCCCCACCCTCTCCGCCGCCTCCACCGCCACCACCGTCGCCCCCGCCGTCTCCTCCAGCACCCTTGCACCCCTTGCTCCTCTCGCTGCGGTGCCTCCCACTAGGAGCGAAACGCAGCGCCGACCGACTCGGTGTCAACGAGGTCGACAGTAGCAGTAGAGGCACCAGAGGGCAAAAGGGGAAAGGGGGAGCACCCCTCAAAGAAAGGGGCGCGAGGGTCACCACGAGAGGCTCCTACAGCGACTATACTCTTCTCAGCTGCAAGGAGGCGCTCCTCGAGGAGGTCAACGGTGAGTGTGTGGAGCAAAGGGAGAGGAAGTGGTCCCTGACCAAGTGAAAGGGAGTCAGGAGCTGGGTGACGAGGTAGTCGAGAGTGATGTACATAGGGGGGGGTTCGCGGCGCAGATTTCGGCAGGAAGCGCAACGCAGTAGCGGGTGTCACTAGTGCGGAGGTGCGTAATGAGGTTAGCGACTGTGGCAAACGGAGCTAGGTCAGGGAACAGGTATGGCAGCATGAGGCGGCTAAGGGCAGCAGTGGCAGGGGAGGAGTAGCGCGCAACAACAGTGTCGTACAGAGTCCCAGTGGTCTTGTACTGGCTAAAGTGCGCGCGCTCAACAGACGGCAGGTGACTACGAATAGCAAGACGGGCAGCAGCATTGCGCGTGGTCCACTGCGAGCGAACAGTATTGTCAGCATCAGCAGCAGGTGCAGCAAAGGCGCCAGGCGTGAGGTCAAAAAGCGAGACTCCGTGCTTGCTATTGCACTGCAGAAATTGCTGCAGATCATCGACCCAGACCTCAAAATCGACCGCTCGACCCTCAGCATCGAAGGTAAGGACATTAGGGCTAGCCATGACAGCATGAGCAGCAGTAGTAGCCTAGTAGCAGCAGAAGCAGCAGTAGTAGCCTAGTAGGAGCAGAAGCAGCAGGAGCAGCGCTACTCAGCATGGCAGCGGCGTTGCTCGCAAGGGCAGCGCGGGTGCGGCGGTGCGCCTACCAGTGGCAGGAGGGGAGAGCAGAGGTTGCGTCTGGTGGGGCAGGGCCGTGGCGCGCCAGAAGGGTAGGGGGCCGCGACAAGGCGGCAGGGCAGGGCCGAAGCTCGGCGGCAGAACAGGGCCGCGTCAGGGCAGTAGGGCAGGGCCACGACGGCGGGGCCGCAGTGACGACGTCAGCGGCGGTTTGCACCAGCGGCTGTAGGCCCGACGGTGACAGCATAGCCGCTACGGCGGCAGCAGAGGCGGCGGCTGCTGTAGGCCACGGGGCCTCGGCGGCTGCTGCAGAGGAAGGGGCTGCGACGACGAGGCGGGCGGGCCGTGGAGGGCCGCAGGGATGGGCGGGCAGGCCACACAGGGCCGCGACGAAGGGGCGGGCAGGGCCGCGTAGGGCCGCGACGAAGGGGCGGGCGGGCCGGGCAGGGCCGCAACGAAGGGGAGGGCGGGCCGCGCAGGGCCGCGACGAGGGGGCGGGCAAGTCGCGCAGGGCCGCGACGAAAGGGCGGGTGAGCCGCTTAGGGCCGCGTAAGGGCGGCAGGGCGGGCCTCTAAGGGCCGCGTCGTCAGGGTGGGCTGCTAAGGGCGGCCGTAGGGCAGAGCCCGAGGCGCTTCGGGCAGGGCAGGAAAAACGTTTTTCAAGTGGTGGGCCCTTTAAAAAAGAAACGGTCCCACTAGGGAACCCGCTCTATACCATGTGAGAATTGTACGAGGAATGAAATCAACTAGGAAGCAGGTCGGTACAAATATGAAAACCTAAAAGAGTTGTACCCCATATTGTCAACCCCACTACAGCCTACAACATGGTTCTGACAACCTCTCGCCGCTCTTCGTTGACCTCGACCACATCGTCAATCCTAAGATCGCCAACATCGCGCGACGAAGCCGCGACAACTTCAACATCTGGTATCTTGATAGCTGCTACAAGCAACACATGGTGGTATCACTGGCATTCATTAGTAACTCCAAGCGCATACGACGACCATGCAAAATCACCGTTGCAAACAAAAATCAACTCAAGGCGTAGGACATCGGCGAGATTTACCTACATTTGAACGACACCAACTTTACCATTCACGTCGGAGATGTACTCGTCGTCGCCAACCTTTAGTTCAACCTTCTCTCCGCTGCTCAATTAATGAAGTGCGGAGTAGACGTTTGAAGCAATTGCGAAAACAAAACCTTTGAAAAAAAAAAAAAAAAAACCACTTACATCGACAAGGTGATCGACGAAGTGTCAGAATGTTATTGTCTAGCCTGTAGTGGGGTGCTCTATAGCGAGTACAACCCAGTTAGGGTTTGTTATATGTATCCCAACTGCTGCTATTGAAACCCCTCCTTTCTTCATTTCTCGTCTTGCCTACTATAGTTATTAACATGCTATCAGAGCAGGTCGACCCTCCTGGGTCGTTCCTGTGTATGGGCCCACCACCTCACTGCTTCCGCTGCCATTGCTACTCTGTGTGTTGCACGCCCCATGGCGTGCGACGGATTTTTTCTTCCTGCCGCGCGCTCGGAGCGTGCGGCGGTTTTCTGCCCGCCGTGTGCCCCGGGGCGTGCGGCGGTTCTCTGCCCGCTGTGCGCCCCAAGGCGCGCGGCGGCTTTCTGCCCCGTCGGTCCACACGTCACCCCCGGTGGGCGCTTCGACGGGCGACGGGGACCAGCCCGTCGTCCCCGGTCGCCCGTCCTGGCCAGCGCGGGCTGCGCTTGCCCCGAGCGCGGCCCTTACGGGCTGCGCCCGGCCCGCGCGCGGCCCGTATGGTATGCGCCAGGCCCGCGCGCGGCTCGGGCCGCCTGCGCGCGGCTCGTCTGGCTGTGCTAGGCCCGTGGGCGGCCCGTTCTTCTCTGCCCCTGAGCTGCCCGCTGTCCCCCGTGCTTCTGACGGTGCCCCACCCCTGCTGCTGCCCGTTCTCCTGAATTAGGGTTTGGGGGGTGGGGGGTATGGGGGTGCAGTTTCTATGCACCGTCCCCTGCTCCTCCTCCTCCTCCGTCTCCTAGTGCTGCAGCTGCCGCTAAGGGGGGTGGATGTGTTGGAGCCGTCGAAGTGGTACGAGGGGGTGACATGGGAGTGGAGTTAGGGTTGAAGCAGTTAGGGTGTGTGTCAGGGGGTGTGGGACAATTGGAGGAGGTTGTGCGGAGGTAGCTGTCATGTTGCCTGTAGCGCTTGTAGCCCGTCGCCCTTGCTTCGGTAGCCAGTGAGCCAGTTGCACCAGACGCCAGTGGGTCCGTTGCTCCTGCCGCTCGTCTTAGCCGCGGAGCCAGTCACTCCAGTAGTCCATCGCCCTTGCTTCGGTAGCCACTGAGTCAGCCGCTCCTGTGTCCGTGCCTCTGCAGCTTCAGTCGTTGCCTCCCATCTTCTCTCCTTCCAGAGTTCGTCCTCCTCCTCACTTGCCCGCTGTGATTACCTCTAGCTTTGCATATTATTGTGAACTCCTGCTATGCCTGCTCATTGTACTGATTACACCCCACTTTGGCTATGGGGGTGTGTCAGAATGTTATTATCTAGCCTGTAGTGGGGTGCTCTATAGCGAGTACACCCAGTTAGGGTTTGCTATATGTATCCCAACTGCTGCTAGTGAAACCCCTCCTTTCTTCATTTCTCGTCTTGCCTACTATAGTTATTAACACGAAGATGGCATCTTTGTCTTGAACTTTGTTTTGCATGGCAACACTGGCGACTCGCACAAAACTCTTCTGCTGAAAACGACACCCACGGAGATACCAACTTGGTCGCACCTTGCGAAAATGGATATCAAACGCCCCACTTTAGGCATACTTCTTCGCCTTCGTGCCGTGCCAACTGCCTCAACCTCTACTCCTGGAGATACCGGACTTGCAACAATGGAACAGGAAGGAGATGTCGAAGTGAAAGGCCCCGCCCTCGCTTGGGTGTTAACATTCTGTGCAACGACATGGTGAATTAAACGAAGTGATTGTCGCATTAGAACAGCCTGTCCTCTTAAACCGCGGGTAGTATTCGAAGAGGTTGTCCTCTGATTCACCAGCCCAACGACGAGCTCTGGTTGACAGGGTGCTGTTCAACGAGCTCGTCATCTGATACGCCAGTGAGTCGCACGATCTCTGACGGACAGGGTGCAGTCCGAAGAGCCTTGTTCTCTAATCAAAGGGCGCTGTTCGGTGAGCCTCGTCTCGGCAAACTGGTCGGCCGAATTCGCGCGACTGCGGAACTTTGCGAAGGCATGCAAAATTTGCTGAGGAGGTTCTTAGCAAATTTTCATATGTGGAATGGCATTACGTTCTTGACGTTGGACACCACACGAAAACGTCGGAACGTTTTCTGCCTGGCACCTGCGCAATGTCTCTGACGGTGCAATAGTCTACCCGCACATACTCGGCAGGTGCACACCTACGCAGATATTCACCTGCAAATGCTGCGCTGGGAGGCCGCGCTGTTGCAGCGCTGGCATGTCGCCCTTCTGCTACGCAGGCAGGCTGCCCTGCTGTGAAGAAATGAGGAAGGAATGGATGAACTAGCAAGCAGGTGGGTACAAGTAAGAAAACCTAATAGTGTTGTACCCCATATTGTCTACCCCACTACAGCCTACTATAGCATATGAGTTTGACACACCCCCATAGGCAAAGTGGGGGAGAACAAGAGGTCACAAGACCAGTCAAGCAAAGCAAAGCAAGCTCAGGGCGGATCACAATGTCACCACACAGTCCGAGCACAAGAGCAAGGCCACAAGGCCAGTTCACATGCAAGATCATATATAAAGGTAAACAAGCAAGTGCAGGTATAGAAAGATCACAGTACAAGCAAGGTCAAGAAGTGAGCAAGTGAGGCCAAGTAGGCACAAGACCTAGCATCGTACAGAAGCGCTGATGATCACAAGGTGGAAGTGCCTTGGTAACAATATCAGCAGTGTTGGCCTCAGAGGCTATGTAAGCAAGGCGCAGCTGACCACGCTACTGTAGCTCACGAGCAAGGAAGTAGCGAAGAGCAATGTGCTTCGTTCTCTGCTCCAATCTGTGCTCCCGACACAAAGCCAGCATGGCCTTGTTGTCTGCGTACAGAACTGGAGGAGAATGAGGTGGCTCTCCTAGGTCAATCAGCAAGTAGGTGAGGCAGCGAAGCTCCTGTGCAGCCATGGCCCCCACGTAGATCTCAGCCTCACAGCTGGAGCCAAGAACGGAAGACGAGCGGGTAGACCGCCACGAAACAGAGCCGGAGCCAAGGCTGGTAACCCTGTGACGACCGCTGCGTAGCCTGGTCGTCAGCCCAAGAAGCGTCTGCAAGACCTGTGAGGACCTTTGGACGTCGCCCTCCAAGCACTAGCCCCATGCCCGACGTACTGCACAAGTAGCGCAACACCCTCTTCGCTGCAGCCATGTGCTCTGGTCGGTGTCTCCCACGAGCAACATAGCGTGCCAAGATGCTAAGAGAGTATGCAAGGTCAGGTCGTGTGCAGGTCATCAGGTACATGAGGCAGCCAACAAGCTCTGGGTACGGGCCACTCGGCTCTACGGACTCATCCAAAGGAAGAGCTGAGAGCGAGTGGCGAGTAGACAGAGGAGTGGCCTGAGACGAGGAGTACGTGAAGCAGTCCCATCAGTACCTCCAGCAGTACCTCCAGCAGGACTAACTCCAGCAGCCCCATCAGCACCCCCAGTCCCACCAGCTCCAGTACCGCCAGTAAGAGCACCTCGAGGACCAACAGCAACAGTAGTACCTCCAGCTCCAGCAGCACGGCTCCCGCGGCGGGCAAACTTCTCGCGCAGCTCCTGCGGAGAGAGTAGCTCCCGCCTCGACGAAGCAGACCCAGCACCCTCAGGCTCCGCATCTCCAGGCTCCGCACCCCCACGCTTAGCACCCCCAGGCTCAGCACCCCCAGACCCGGCACCCGC